CGGCCTGCCTCCGGCACGGTCTCTGGGTTTGCACGGTTGTGTAACAACATGTATCCAATTACGGTATTACACAAACCCACCACAATCCACCTTGTCTCCCCTCTCCAGCCCCCGGCCCCCGCCCACCGTTTCCCGCCCCCGCAGTCCTGCCTTTTCGGGAACGCCCCACGGCTGGAATCCCACAGTCCGGAGCCGGCTCAGGAACACACGTGTCGGGTTCCTCCACGGCTTCAGAGCTCACTCCTCTGTAGAACTCGAGTCACAGTCCACCGTCTGCACGGCCCACGGCGTGTGCGTCCATCCCCGACTCCAGGGCACCCTGGTCGCTTCCCAGTTTGGGCAGCTGTGGATAAAGCTGCCGTAAACAGCCGGGCGCAGGTGTCACGGGACCTACGTTCTCACGTCCTGGGGGTAAATGCCGAGGAGCACGTCCGCTGGACTGCATGGCAAGAGCGCGGCTGGTTTTGTAGGAAACCACAGGCCCCCCCTGACGTGGCCGCGCCATTCCCCGCTGCTCCACATCCCGCCAGCATCTGGTGCTGACCGTGTTCTGGCCCGCGGCCGTTCCAGCGGGGGGCGGTGGAGTCTCCTCACTGTTCTCCTCTGCGTGTGTCCCCGAGGACGCATGATGTGGAGCATCTTCCCGAGTGGGTGTTCGCTGTGCGCAGATGCTCCGTGTTGGGTGTCTGTTTTCCTGTTGTTGAGTTTGAGAGGCTTTTTTTGTATATTTTGGACAGGAGTCCTTTATTGGATTTGTGTTTTGTGGATATTTTCTCCTAGTCTGTGGCCTGAGTTTTCATTCTCTATATATAATTTGATTCCTGCTTTTGGTTTTTTATTTTGTTTTTTTGTTTATTTTATTATTTATTTTTAAAAGATTTTATTTATCTATTTGACAGAGAGAGAGACAGCGAGAGAGGGGACACAAGCAGGGGGAGTGGGAGAGGGAGAAGCAGGCCCCCCGCGGATCAGGGAGCCCGATGCGGGGCTCGATCCCAGGACCCTGGGATCATGACCTGAGCCAAAGGCAGACGCTTAACGACTGAGCCACCCAGGCGCCCTGGATTAAAAAATTTTTAAACGTTGCAGAGAACGTTCTAGTACCGATATCTCTTTGACACCTCTCATTGCTTTGCTTGGATGTATTTTAAGAAAGAGAATTATGGGGCTCGGATGGACACATTGATTTGTGAAGCTGGCTGTGCGGCAAAAAGGGTTTATTCATTCACATGTTTATTCCACAGATACCTACCGAACCCCTGCCGCAGGCCTGCTGCATTCCAGGTGCTAGGTCGTGATACCGAGCACAGGAGTTTCCGGCTCTGCCCCCCTGGGCATACGCCCAGCTGCACGAGGCAGTAGGCCCTAGTCTGCTCTGGTCACTGCTGAGTTCTGCTCTTTCTGGGTCCTGTCAGTGTGTGATCAGGCAACATACGAGATCCAGGAAAGGTGTGTGTAAGTCAGGGTTTTACAATCAAATACACAGTGGGACATGTTATTAAAAGGATCCCCAGATGAGTTTAAATCATTTTCACACTCAAAAACTCTATGCTTTGATTATAATCTGATAGAGTTACTTTATTATCATTAATAAAGAAGTAACCAGAAAAAAGGAGGCAGCCAGCCTCCCCATGCACTTGGAAACCAATAACGAGCTTCTGCATAATTTGTTGAAGAAGACTGTCATAGTAAAAATTTATGTAAAAAGCAAAAAATCGTGAAATACCTAAACTGAGTGACAAAGCTTCCCGTAGTTGCAGCAGAATCGGTCCTTGGAGGGAAAATTACTGCTTCGCCAGAAAGTAAGATCAGGAATTCCTGAGCAGAGCACATCACCACGGATTGGGCGGCTACAGGCAGCAGGAACTGATTGCCCCACAGCTCGGAGCCCGGAGCCCGAGGCCAAGACTTCAGTGGGGTGCTTCCTCCTGCATCCCAGCCTGTCGCCTCCAGTCCTTCACTTGCAGACACATCACCCAACCTTTGCCTCTGCCTTCACGGCGAGGTCTGCCCTGCGAGCCGTGTGTCCAGAACTCATTTTGACCTGACAGCATCTGCAAAGGTCCCATTTCCAAATAGAGCCACCCTCGGGAGGGGGCCTATTGAACCCACTGTGTGTATGGCCTGGGAAGTCGGAAATCGAGTGACAGAGCCAGGCTACGCAAACGCATGCAGAGAATAATAAAGATCTGGCAGAAGGTAATGAAACAAAGAGATCAGAGATGGTAGCAGTTGATAAACGCAGAGATGATGAATAAAATAGGCATCTGGGAAGGCGGACTCGCAAAGAGATGGTGCGAGCTGGTGCACAGGTTGGGGAGAGGGCGCTTTCTGAACAGGGTGCCTGGGGAGGTGCGGAGGCTGAGCTCACAGGGGCCCGCGGGTGTCCCTGGTTCCACTCGGCTTATCTGGGCAGGCTCAGAAGCCCTCTCCTCCAGGAAGCCCTCCCTGACTCTTCCCCTCCGCCCGCCCAGCCCTGTGCCTAGTCCTCTGGGGCTTGTGCTGTTATCTTGCCCTGACTTTTCACCTGTCTCTCCTGTTAGACGGAAATCTTCATGACAGAACTATGCGTTTTTCTCTGTAGTGGTCTCTGGATGAGGTACTCAACAAGTGATTGAAACTGCACATCTCTCTCCTCACCCTGCCACTGAAGGTCGAGTGCCCCTGGACGTGGCCCTTGCCCTCTCCTGGCTTCGTAGACGGGAATGACAGCCCTGGGCCCGCCTTCTGCTCTGAGAGGCTGTAGCCCCGAGAGAGGGGCTTGTGGGCAGCCCGGGGCTGGCACCATCGACCCCTGCCCGGGACACCACAGATCTCCGATACCACGGTGCCCACTCGGTCGGAGGGGACAGGGGTTGAGGGACTGTCTCCCTGGGGGGAGCCCTAGAAATGCTGACCGTGCACAGCCACTGGGAGTCTAGTCCCCACTGGGACACGGCCTCCACTCCTCTGGGGTGTTCAGGGCCTGTGCGCGGGGTCAGGCTGACAGGGCTAACTGCCCCAGCTGTGGCCTCAGCCAGCACGCCTGGGGGTGGGGCGTGGTGGGAGGGATTCTGCCGGTCCCGGGTCCCAGGCATGCGGGCTTCTCTCAGGAGCAGAAACTCAGGTCCAGAGAATCTCCCCTCAACCCACCCCTCCCTGGCCAAGAATTTTCTCTTCTTAGGCCACAAGCCTGCCTTTCACCCCTCGTGCCAGAAAAATGTGGTCAGAAGTAGATCGTGACCGTCATTTATGATCCAGGGAGCACTTGGCCCCGGGGGCAGAACAGGGACAGTCCCTGGAGCTGCATTAGGCATTTCTGGTGCAGATTCTGGCCGCGGAGCTTTCTGGAAATGCTGTTCCCACACTGCTGTTGTGAGGACTTCTCTGACCCTGTGCCCTTGACCATACTGCAGCCCAGACAGCTCATCAGCGTGAGAACAGGAGACAGGAAGGGGGCTCCGGAAAATTAGAGGTTTTCCTGGAGTCCCAAGGGGAAGGGGAGGGGATGCCATCTCGTTTCCGCCCGACGCCTCCCCAAGTGGCCTCAGATCTCCTGGATCCTGCCCAGTTAGGCCCTTTGCTGGCAAGCATGGAAAATGGCCCGTGGCAGGACAGTGATGCCCACGGTACCAAGAAAGCGAGGCGCCCAGCGCTCTTCCCTTCCCTCTGTGTGTAACACAGCCACTGCGCGGGTCTGCACCTGGGCACCTCTTCCAGTGGCCCCGGGGCTGGCCCGGACACGATGGGGCTTCCTTGCGGGTCTCGTTCCTCGGCTCTGATCCTCTCGGGTGGGCGTCCCGTAACCCTACCCTTCCTGCTGGAAACCCTCTCACTGCACCCAAGCCTCCCAAGGGGGCTGCTGAGTGAGATGGCACCCCCAAGCCTGGGCTCTGGAGGGTGTGTCGCGGCCCGGGGCCCAACATCAGCCCCCAGCCTCTGAGCGTTGTGGTCACGACAGCATATGTAACTCAAGGACATTGGGCTCCAACCCCCTCCTGACCGTTCATTCACCCTTCCTTTCCAGCCGGTGCCTGAGGTGCCACGTCTTGTGAGTGGGGAGGGTCACGGCTGAGCGTGTAGTGGGTTCTGGCGGCCCATCGTGTTGAAGCAGTGTGGGGAGAACTCTGGGACTTAGAGACGAACGGTGGATGGAAGGCTTCTCGCTGGAGGTGGCACCGACGTGTTCACCAGGGACACCGCTTGGGGGGTGGGCAGTAAGGTGGAGGAAGCCCTGTGTCCCTCTTTCTGCTCTGCCTTGGCCAGTAGCTCTGGCTGCAGGTTGGGTACTTGCCTCTGGGGGTTTGTCTGTGTGGGATCCTGGAGCTGAGCATCTGTGTGTCCGCCCTGAGACCCCAGTGCTGTGTGGGCCATTCCCCAGTCCGGGTCTCATTGTTTTCTCAAAGTCAATATGTCCAAACCCAGCACACATCAACCACATGAAAAACAGCCCAAACCTGGGAAAACGGCAAGGATGTGGGGCACGTTCGGGCGCAGCTGCTGTGGGAAACGGCTTGGCAGGCAGTTCAGCAAACTGTGCGGTTCTGGGCGAGCAAGGACGGGAGCCGAGGAGGGGCGAGGGGAGGGAGCCTCGAGGGGAGGGGGCTCTGCACCCACTGTGGCATTTGCGGGGTTGGGGCGAGTCCTGAGACGTGGAAAGCGCGTTCTGGGCTGGGAGGAGCCTGTGCCGGCTGGGGGACACGTGCAGGCAGGTTGTGGCCATGGCACCCTCGAGGGGATGCGTGTCATGCCAAGACTGGAGGCCATCAGGGCCTTCAAATGTGTCTGATGTTTTCCATGGCCGACACCTTGCCTGCGCTTGCAGTGAGGGTGGGCAGAAACCCTCCGAGCAGGAGCTCTGTGGGGCTGGGTGGGAAGACATGGACCTGGAGGTGCCCTTGGAGCCAGCGGTCTGCCGGGCCCGGAGGGAGGAGCGTTGGGCAGGGCCCCTCAGCTGCACCCGCAGGTGGACAGACCGCGCCGGCTGCTGTTCTCAGACCTCCCTCCGTCTTCTCCCACAGGAAGAAAACAGACAGATTCTGACACAGCAGAAGTCAGACTCCCATGATGAGGAGGTCTCCCCAACCCCACCGAACCCCGTGGTGAAAGCCCGCCGCCGCCGAGGGGGCGTGAGTGCCGAGGTGTACACGGAGGAGGATGCTGTGTCCTACGTGAGGAAGGTGGGCCCCCCCCCCGGCCCTCAGTCCTGCGGTCCCTGCTCCCGGCTGCTCTCCCTTCTGCTCTGAGAGGGGCCGTGGTGGTGGGAACGTCATCGTCACAGTCACTGCCCGCGGGCTCGCAGGGCGTGGGAGAGGAGATCCTATGGCCCCCATCCTCCTGGAGACTAGAGCCTGGCCTCAGAGCCGCCCAGTGGGAATTCCCTCCGCCACATTGCTGTTCCTCGGTGTCCTGCCCTCGGGTTGGGCGACCAGCCTGCTGCTGCCAGGCCCGAGCAGGTGCGCCTTCGTCGTGATGTGCTCTGGAGGGTGAGCGCACATGCGGTGTCCCCAAGCACATCGGTGTGCGGCCCGGCCTCCTGCCTGCCCTTGGACGGGGGCCTGTCATTTCCATCTTGTGGGTTTATATTTTTATACCCTCACTTTTACTTTTTTTCTTGGTATTTTTAGTTTTTGACCTCTTAAAAAAGTTAATTAGGCACAAAATGCATAGCCTACGGTTTCCCATGTGTGTGAGCCCAGATGGCTGGGATGCTCATTCTCTCGCGGTCTGGAGGCCGGGTGTCTGAGAGCAGGTGCCGGCGGGCTGGTTCCTGGTGGGAGTCCCGCCGCCCCCCATGTCCTCAGGTGTTGAGGAGAGCGGGAGAGCGGGCTCTTGGGGGTCTGCTCCTCTGGGGCGCTAATCCTGCCAGGGCCTTGCCTGCAGATGCCACACGCTGGGGGGTAGGGTTTTGGGGACAGTCTGTCCATGCACCACTTTGACTGTGTTGCCGTGCAGGGTTCAGGGGCGTCGAGCGCACTCCTGCTGCTGAGCCGTTGTACCCCGTCTGTCTGCAGGGCCCTCGGGGACGCTCGCAAGTCTGACTTTGACTGGCTTCCCCTGCAGGTCATCCCGAAGGACTACAAGACCATGACGGCTTTGGCCAAAGCCATCTCCAAAAATGTGCTGTTTGCCCACCTGGACGACAACGAGAGAAGGTAGGAACCTGGGAGGGGATGGGGCCAGGATCGACACCCCTCCCCAGCCTTGCTGGCCGCCAGCCGCAGGGGACGCGCGTGTGCCCAGGTCAGGATCTGAGGCTTCCATGTGCCCTTGTCATCCACAGACACCCATGGGCCTCGATGCCGAGTCATGTGGGCCCGGCGGGCACCAGGAATGACTGCAGGGTGGGGTCTTTCCAGGGGGGCACCCAACATCGGTGAGGGCCTCGGGGGCCATGTGTTGGGAATGGAGAGCCTACAAATAATTGGGAAAATCGGACTTCTGGAGAAAATCCCTGGGACTGTTCTGGGGCGGTGCTTGTGGATTTATGCGTGTGCGCTAATTCCGCGTCACAACGTGGGCTCACGTCCTCCACGGTTTGCCCCACTCACGAGGTCGTGAGCGTCCCTCTGTCAGGAAGGGTCTGTAGCATCTGTTTCCATAGAGTTGCTGTAAGACCCTTACTTCCCTCCCAGGGCTGCTTGTGTTTTCTCAGTGACCATGGCTGTCCTGTGCACTCACCTTTGGTACTTGTTTGTTTCTTCCTTCAAGTTCAGTTCCTTGATGTGGATGAAAGGGTTTTAGTTTTAGTTTTTCTCTCTTTTTTCTCATTTTTGGCGAGTTATGTTTCCTGGCTAGATAACCAGGCCCGTTTTGATGACTGTGCTCTACAGAACCCAAACGACATGCAAATCCATGAAACAAGAAGAGAAAGTCCCCCGTGCAGCCTCATTCTGTGACACTGGTGGGCCCTTTCACCTGAGCGTCCCAGGATGGTGCGCGTGTGCAGAGCGCTGCCCCGTGCGGTGGCTCCGTGTCTGTCCGCCCCTCGCTTTGCCAGCGTTGCTGGGAGGCTTACGGCTCCTGGAGGGTGCAGCGTCTACGCAGGATGGGCCCCAGCTGCAGAGTAGCTGCGCCAGAGAGACGCGGCAGGAGGTCTCAACAGATGTGATGCCTTTCCAAGGGCCGCTGGTGACATCGCACGTGTGGGTCCCCTGGGAAGCCTGCAGGCGCGTCCAGAGGCCTGGTGCTCTGGGGCCTCACCCACCGCTGGGGCACTTCTGGAGTCTACGTGGCGGAGGGCAGCTGGAGCCGTGTTCCAGGGGATGCCCACCCCGTGGAAGTACACGGGGGCACGACAGGCAGGGAGGGGAGGTCAGTTCTCTGTGTGGGCCCCCCTGCAGTGCCCGCACCCCAGGAGGGTCTTGCCATGCAGAGACGCTCAGGATTCACCCTCAGGAGGCCTTAAATGCAGTCTCAGGTCCTTGCAGGAGGGGGGCACAGGGAGGTTGCTCGAAAGAGGAGAAGCCCTGTGACCACAGAGGTAGAGATGGAGCAAAGTGACCTCGGGCCAGAGGCCACCAGCCACTCCTAGAGGCGAGAGTGGCTAGAGGGGTCCTTCCCTGGAGCCTTTGAGGGCATGGGGCCCTCCTGCACCTCGATTTCCACCTGCTGGTGCTGATTCTGGGCTTCTGGGCTCCTGAACTGGGAGACCACACGCTTCCACTGTTCTCAGCCCTCCTAATGGAGGTGTCCACCTGGCAGTTATGGTCTCTGTCACCAGGTGGGCCCAGATGACTCAGGAGTTGTATCTTTATTAACTTGAATGTAAACATCAAAAACTCAGTCCAAATTTAGACCTAGTTTTTGACTAGATGGTGCGTTCACATGGATCGAAAGTCAAAAGGTGCCAGGGGTCCAGAGTGAAAGGTGAGCTGTATGGAGGTGGCCCCAGGACCCTGGCTTGTCCCTGGGTCCCTCTGCAGTTCCCTTTCTGCGGACAGACTCCCCACTCTCAGGCAGGAGGTCAGATATTCCCCTCAGTGGCCACACAGACTCTCTGTCCGTTCTTCACCGGGTTTCAGTTGTCAGGGACGGATGGCTGCGGACTGTGCCTGGGTCCATTGGGTCCTGCTAACTTGCACTTTGGTGCCTGCTTGGGGGAGGAGGTGCCCCTCCGGGTAGACAAGAACACACGGCCACCTGGGTGGCGCAGGGTGGACTTTGATCTCGGAGCCAGCGTGGAATATGTACCTGTACGTAGCAGATCCTGGTTTTGTTCCTGCTGGCCGGCAGGTGGGTTGCTCACCTGGGTCAGGCCCAACCTTGAGTGCAGGGAGGGAGTTCTGGGGCACAGTGATTTGGGCCTCAGTCTCCCAAAAGTTGGCTACTCACTTGGAAGATGAGTTTTGTTCTCTGGGTCTCCGTTGCCTGGTCTGGTCTGCATTAAGCTCTTCCAGGGACGGCCACGGGAGCAGAACTCGATGTGAGCATGTAGGCTCATTATTATTTATGGCGATGGTCCCCGTGAACTTCTTGCTCACGTACTCCCAGATGCAAGCGCAGCACCAGCCTGCTCCAGACACCGTGTCTTGCTGGCGTTACAGGGCACAGACGCTCCCAGGACTCATATCCCCAAGGCTTCCCTTGCTGTTGCCGGAGCCACAGGGGAGGCTCACCAAGTGTCGTAACCCCGGCATCATCAGGCTCAGCAGCCACGCCCTTCTTCAGAGCCTGAGTTCTGATGGACATGGCCAAGGTCAGCCGAGCGAGGGAGAGGCTCCTCCGGCCGTGGTCTGGAGCCGTCCGGTGTCACTGCCTCAAATGTGTGCGGGCCAGAACCTCTGGCCTGGCCCGGCCACAGGGAGACTGGGAACAGGCTCCCGCGAGGTTGCGGTTCTGCCCCGTCAACGGCACCCACCCGTCCTCCTGTGTGCAGCTTACGGGCCTGTGTGCGGCGCCCTCAGGGTGCCCCCATGTTGTGACAGGACCGCCTTCCTGTTTGAGGGTGGGGGTCTCCTGTTGTGGGGGTGCGCCACCACGCGTTTATCCATTTACTGGTCAAGGGACACTTGGGCTGCTCCCGCCTTTTGGTGGTTGTGCCAAACGTTCCTGTGAACACAGGTGTCGGAGCCTTTGGGGTGCACACCTAGGAGTGGCTTTCGGGGCAATCGTCCCTCCGCAAGTGACTTTCTGAGGAGCCACCAGACTGCTTCCCCTCCAGCCCCACTGAGCTTTGAGCCTCCCCTTCTGTGGGGCCCACGTGCCCCCTCTGTGGCAGGGGTGTTTGAGCCCCGTCCTTCACATCCTTTCCTGGCCCCTCCCTGGCTCCCAGGCACGGGCTGGTGTAGGGCTGGTGTCGCCTGAGGGCCAGTTGATCTGAGCGCTATCTCTGGCCGTCCCAGCTGCATGTGTCCAGGAAGTGTTTGTGCTCTTGGCCCCGACTTTCCAGAATCAATGGTTCCCACTGCCTCGGACTTCTCTGGATCCAGGAGCCAGGTGGACCAGAAGTGCAGGAAGCAGATGGTCGGACTGAAAATTCCTCTTGGCGAGGCTGGCTTGGGAAGAGGGCTTTCATGTGGGGGGTTCTGCTGCAGGAAAACTCACTTTCCATATTGAAACCCTGAGGGGATCCTTTTTCTGGCTACGGCCTCTAAAGAAACAGGCGACGGTTCAGGACGTGGGCTCCGGAGGGAGCAGGCCTGAGACAACGTCTCTCGACCTTTCACTTGATGTCCCCTGCACGGTATCCAAATTCTTTGCTTTTTCCCATTTATTAGAAGCTGGGCCCAACAGCCCGAGCTGTGGTTTGGGGCACATTCTTTCCAGGTTCGCAGAGCGCCTGGCACGCCCCAACTCAGAGCTGCCTCCCGCGTGGGCGGAGGAAACAACACTCCTCTGCAAGCAAGCCCACTTGTGGGGTGAGTGCCTTTGTGCTCAAAGCCCCTTCTGTTAAACTCAGATGTGAGACAGGTGACCCTGTGGTCACGGGAGCGGTGGTCTTGCCCTTGTCAGATTATGAGGGTGCCTCTCCTTCAGAAGGTTTGTGTGGCGGTGCTTCGGTGAGTCAAGGGGTGAGGGCTTTGTTTAAGCTCCTTTGTTCAGAAGAGGGTAGTGCAACGTAGCTGTGGGGGAGGGCCACTCCCTGGCCACACTGCAGTGTTCTCTCTCCTAGGACTGCGGCACTCCCAGCTGGTGGTTCTTGGAGGCTTTTCTGGCCTCTGTTTCCCCCTCTGTATGTAACAAGGGTCTGTCTTCTGCCCGAGGCCATACCCCATGTCATAGCAGAGACACGGTTCTAACAGGAGTCCCTGGGGCTCCAAAGCTTGTGCTCTGCCTCCCCCACTCCTGTAACAACAGGTCACACGCACCTACAGGAGGAGGGAACATGGGAGAGCGGCTGATTCAGACTGGGTCGTCGGGGGGGCCCCAGGTGTCCTGGGATGAACTTGGGGCTGCAGGGAGTGGGCTCTGGCTTGCCGGGTCTGGGGAGCAACAGGGAGCACCAGGAGACCCCTGAACACTTTGTGTCAGGCCAGAGAGGCGTTAAACACACAAACACATACATGTCCAAACTGACATACACACACTGATGCATGTGCACACACACACGCGTATGTGTGCTCGTCCACATATAGACACACTCACACTCATACGTATACACAGTGCATACATGTGCGCACATTCTCACACACACTTGCCTGTACACACAAATGCACCCTCACACACACGCATGCTACAGAATTGAATGTGTGTTAAAATATTTTTGGAAGGAGACTGTTGAATCATGTCATTAAGTTGCATAGTGACGTTCTTTGGGACTCAGTTTCCTCAAGTGTCAAATGAGAGTAATGAAACCTACTTAGAGGGTCGCAGGGAAAAGGTGAAATGTAGTAATGTTTGTGGGTGTATCATTATCCCCATCCCTACCATCCCCGTCCACATCACCATCACCATCACCATCACCACCATCCCCATCATCCCCGTCCACATCATCATCACCATCACCATCACCACCATCCCCATCATCCCCATCCTCATCAAAACCGTCATCTCCATTATCACCACCATCACCATCAGCATCCCCATCGTCACCACCATCGTCATCATCATCCCCATCATCACCACCATCATCATCATCATTCCCATCATCACCACCATCACCATCCCCATCCTCATCAAAACCATCATCTCCATTATCACCACCATCACCATC